GACAGTGCTTGAAAGAAGATTGATTTGTTCAAAGCCATTGCATTCTTGACTAAATTTATGACTTATTTATTAGAAGATAATTTCCCTGGGTTGTCTTGATCAACAAAGTGAGCATTGGGCTCCATCTCCAGCCTTGATAGAGACACCCGAGGCTGGACACTAAGCCTAAGTGAGCATGAAAAGGAAAACAATATGGTGACAGGAAAAAAATCTAGTGGTCATGGATGACTGCTTAGGATGTTTTTCAAGCCCAGCTGCACTGCATAATGCATACTGTACCTCTCCCTAACAGCCTTTTTATACCCTTTAAACCCAACACATCAGCATGTATATATTTGTTGTGTTTCAATTTTATCCTTGGTTCGAGTTTAATTTTCCTTGTTTCAAACTCATTATAATTATGCATTACCAAACCCAAAAGTGCAAAAATAGAAGTTGAGCCAAGGATAAAATTATTAAACCACAACATATTCTACCCACCATTCTGAGGTGCTAATGAGGATAATTTGAATAATATTCTTTATTTTTGTTCTCAAATTAGACTCATAACTACACTTCTATTTCAACCATCAGCATAACGGTGGGTGATCTGCAGAAATCTTTGTTTCAGGGATCAGAACTTTGGCGTCAGGAGTCAAAACTATTAGATCAGAGGTATAATACTCTTTAAAAAAAATGAGCAGGAGTGTATTATCAGATTTAAAAACCTGAAGCGAAGCAGAGAGTTTTTACTTAGTTTTTAAACCTGATAATACACGATTGCAAGTTTTTTGAATCATCAAAATCAAAATCTCTGATATAGATCAACTCATTCTTGCACTAATATTTAGATTAAAAAATTAACATAAAGTTTAGCTGTGTCTTTATCAGATATAAAGACACTCATTAAACATTAATTTCTTTTGTTTTTCTTTATGAATCATTAATGAGTTTTTGAAGAATGAATAAGATATTTTTTTTCATGTTCTTCACCTTTTGCTCCAGATGATGATTTTGCAATCCATATTTTCTCTTTAAGAGTGCTTGAAAAAGCCATAAGATTGTTTCTTTCATCAGTATACTTTGCATGCAATTTCTTTCTCATCTCTGATTTGGATTTTAAATGTTCTGGCAGAATTATAAAAGAAACAGGCATCCATTGGTATGCCAATTGCTCACTTTCAGCCAAAGAGCGTACATATCTAGAAAATATATATAAAGAAATTATTAGTCTTAGCCTGCAAAAACAGCCATTTCTCCTTGCTACTTGCCGCTTGGGACTTATTCGCCACGAGGGACATCTACGTCCCAGTGAAATTCCATAGTGATGAGGTAAACCAATGTTTACATTTAATCAATCCGGTGATCATGGGGTTTCAAATCAAAATTTGCTTGATTTTACATTTCTCCTGGTCAATTTTGGTAAAGTTTTGTGTCTGCGAACAAGCACCAGAAACTCAAATGCTTCTTCTAGAGAAGAATATAATCCACAAATATTGACTGTTTTGTTGTAGATTCATCACATTAACATTTGACCTTTGTGGCCTTGGCTTTTAAATTTTGTTGGTCATTGGTAAACAACAGCTAAAACAATGAAACTACTATGTTGACCAATCAGAGCTCCTGACCAGATTCCAGACAGATTTTATGTCATCAGTATGGAATTTCTGTTGCTGAGGCGCAGACATCTCTCCTGACATAACGTCCCAAGTAGACTTGCCACAAGTTGACTGCAAGAGAGCACTGAAGGCGTGAGGAACGCTGACAAAGCGAGCTAATGTGAGCGATGAAATCAAAAGACAAGTGCATCTTATTTCAACCTCTTTTCAACAGCCACCTCTCTACAACGGGCCCACTTTCTTCTGTCCCCAAGGTGGCCATTGCAGAGAGGTTTGACTGTAATTGACCAATATGTTTGCACCCATTTAGATAATATATCTTTGTTAATGAATTGTTTTCACAAATTTTCAGTTTATGGGATATGTTCACATCTTTTTATCTATCTACTAGTATAGGCTCAATAAACAGCTCTGCTGTTCAGGAATTGCACCTGTGCTCATCCCCTGAAAAGACAGCTGGACCTGTGGGTTTGCTATTGTCAATTTTCACCAATCAGATTGTTGCCTGCTCAAATCATGCAGCTGAGATTATTGGTGAAAATCAAAGAGATGAAGAGACAAAAAACAACATATGTTTGGTGTCTGATGAGCATTTTGTAAAGATGCACAAATTGAATTTTGAATTTATGTCACAGAGATGATCAGCTACTCACGAGTCAGGCCGTCTCCTCCCAGGAAGGAACAAGACTGGACCGGAGAGAGTGGCGGAAATCAAGCCTATCTAGTTACCTTATCAGAAGTACTGAAGTATAGACAAAAGACTCTGATAGTAGGGTGAGTGATAAGCTACAGCACAACAATAAACAAACAGTAAGCAGAATTTCCTTGGATATACTCACTTCACTAAAGGTACCTTTTTACAAAGAAGTCTTTCAGATCCCCTGTAGTAATTTACAGCTTGACACAAACCTGAAGTGTGACCTTAAAGGGAAAATACAAAAACCACTTCAATTTTCTCTTCTGTTACCACTTTTCCTATTGAACCACTCAGATGCCAGCCTCAGGAGTTCTGAAATCTGGAGTATTTCTAGTTTGCACTAACAAATAACATCTGGGGAAACTTCCACATTCATGAAAGGACCGGGGCCACTCATCATCTCGTTTAGGGGTAGAAAATTGTAGATTTTGGTAACACTTGGGTGTTCGGGATGGAGTGCCTATATTGATGCCAATATTTTTATGTATCCACAGTTTGACTGGCAAAATATTTCAACAGCTCAATAAATGTGTCATATTTTGTCAAATTTAATTGGATTACCCAATGTTCAATTGATTACAGAACATTAAGAATTAGCAAGATTAATTATTATTATTATTATTTATCACTTTCTTCTTTTAAACAGAAGGGTCATTTTAACAGGCATGTTAGACCCCTCCCCCACCCCTAACGTAACCAGTGTTGTCAACTCTCCCGGATAATCCGGGAGACTCCAGATTTTGGACTGTATCTCCTGGTCTCCAGATTAGAGTCTTATATCTCCCAGATAATCACCAAAGTTGCTATTTTCTGTAGACTCGACTTTCCGGCCATAAAATTTGAAAAATGTTGCATTGTTTGAGCTACCATTAACATGAAACGTTTCCTCATAAATTCTGGTGTGCCACTGACATATTTTAAGGAATAATGTGGCTAAATATGAACTGTTTATGTGCTATATACGTCGATCGGAATCAACGAGCATTTTTGGCACAAATGACGTCATTTGTCGTGCGATATGACGTCATCATTCCTTTCCTATCAATTCTCAATATTTGATGACGTGGGGAGGTTGACAGCTATGCGTAACCCTCCTTTCCTCTGCAAACTATGCCACTGGTAAGGCATCAATAAAATATGATTTCGATTAGCCCCTGTAAGTTACCAAATAAAAAAAAAGGTCAAGGATAAGATTCGGATTTCAAGTGACAGGGATGATCGAATGGAGCCAAAAGTCAAGACCCAAAAAAATCCCTAGGGCTTCCAGCAAAACCCAAAAAAACCCCTGGACCAAAAATTAACCCAAAAAAAATCCCATGCCGATTTTGTGGCCCTTAAAAGTTCCAGAAAGGGGTAATGCTATAACTACGCAGCCAGGGCACTACCGATTCTTTTTAATACCCCAAAAAATCCCTATTCAAATCAAGCTACCCAAAAAAAAAACTTGCCAAATTTCCGTACCCAAAAAATCCCGGAATCGAAAATTTCAACCCCAAAAAAATCCTTCGATCATCCCCGTCAATTGAAATCCTGAGTTCCCCCCCTGGGTTTGTAAACCCCTCTATATTAAGCTTAAATTGGTATCAATCTTTCCAGAAACGACGCTCTACCCTTAACTGGGAACTCGATGGTGGCCAAGATCGATGATAGCCAAGAGTTTTCCACGATTATAGACTTCACAAGCAAAGTTTACCAATTCTTGTGTAGTCAAGTTGTGTTGATTTTCTCTCCCCAAACAGCAAATTGAAACGTTCTGAATTCTTTGGCGCCAGTGTCCATTTTTCATGACCAAGTGATCCATTCAGCAACTGTTGTGCGATGTAATTATAAACTGAACTATCCTCATCTCGATTGACAAGAATGTACATGGCTAGATCAATCAAGATCAGACCGATCCGATGTAAACAAAAAATTTGCGTTACCCGCCATTTTTGCAGACAGACGCCATTTTGAGTCGCTTGGGACACCGCTGGACAGGCATTCTTTGCAGGCACTCTATATTTTTTCTCCAGCCCTGCGAGCAGAGCCTATTTTCGCGATAAGAACTGACAACAAGATTTAGGCAAAAGTTGCAAGCAAGAGGTGGGGCTGTGAGCAGGTGAGAAGTATTTCATGCAGTGGGTTAGTTTTGCATCAGCCCCGCACCAACTACACCCCTTCCAAATAATGACCGGCCCCTTACTACCGTCCCCACTAAGGAGGAAATCGGTTATTGCTTTTTTGTTTTCATTTATTTATTTATCTTTCAAATTCAATTTTTTAGTACACCATAAAAGAAATAATAACCTTACTAAAATGTGTGAGGCAAAAACGTGTTTTAATGAAAGGTGTTGCTGGAGCAAGGACTAAGAAGTGAGATGGAAAAAAAACGATTCAATGCTTTGGTGACATTCAAGAAATAAATTGATAGGTGTTAAAAAAAAATCACGAAAAAAGAGGGCGTTCCAGTTTATTTCTTTCTTGTTGTTAAAGGTTTTTGTTGTTCTTGTTTGCTTGTTAGTTTTTCCTCTTTCTTTTTTGGTTTATTTGCTTCAAGCTTTCTCTAAAACAACCAATCAGAAGACGATGAGCTTTAAATTGTCCAATCAGGGACCTACTTACGCGCTTTCCAGTGGCGGGAATCTTCAACTTTGTATAATACTGGAAGGGAAAGATTCTAGCAGAGTTTCAAGCTTTTAGTGTGTGAAGGAATTTTTCAGAATCAGTTAACTGGCTCATTAATCAGGTTATAAATGAGTGTTAATTCTTACATCACTGATTAGTTAATTCTTCGATAAACCACGTCATAGGCATTCTGTCATTCTCCATTACTGTGAAGGAGTTTTCTCGAAGGTAAAAAATTTTAGCTTTGCTGTAATGTTAGTTTCACTTCACTTTTAATTCTTTGTAGGCCTCTTTTAGACGTTTAAGCTCATTGTTAGCTCATAACTAACTTATATCAGATTATGAAATCGTCAGATTGCATTTATACTGCTAAAACGTCTTTTTCTTCATTCTTTTTTTTTTTCAATAAACTTTTCGACCAGTTTTTCCATGCGCTTAAGGGCCTCAGAATTTCTACGAAGATTTATACCTTGAATAGAGGAAGAGTTCCAGTTCGTAAACTCGCTGATATTAGTTATCCAATGTTCCTCTTCTTAGGTTGATAAACATCCATCAGGAACATGGTGAGTACTTAATCTAACTCTTTGGCAAAAAGATGCAAGCGTTGTGTGAGGGTAGTAGAATGTCGTACGAACGTTCAACAAGTTGCGTAGTGGTAAAAAAGTGTTAAAAAGTGTTAGCTTAAGTCTTTCCCAAATCTATAAAAGTATAGTACTGATTTAGCAATTATATGGCGTACAATTGTTTGAATCACACTAAACTCATACTTTTGATATTGTAGTCATCTGGAGTAGAGGTTGACGAAACTGTCATCGACGCATTCAACGACATCAAGTTAAAAAGAAGGCATGCATACGTGGTGATGATGATAAAAGACAACAAGAAGATTGTTGTGGAAAAACTAGGAGATAAACTGCCTCCGAACTGCAGTCAGTCCAGGAATGAGGACATTTTTAACGAGATGAAAAGGGCATTTGGGATGGAACCGCGCTACATTCTTTTCGACTTCTGCTTCACCCGATCAAATCAGACTGTTGCACAGAAACTAGCGTTTATCAGCTGGTAAGAAATCTATAACTCCTAATCCGAAATCAGTGTTTGTCTGAGTCATGCTCGTTATTATTTACATGATTTTTACGACAACAAACAACAAAAACAATTTATTCACACAACCGTTCAATTTTAACAACTAGTTAAATGCAATTCATTTACACTTCAAGTTTTATTCACTTTACAAGCTAGGTGAAATTAAGGGAAATGTGAATAGGCAGAAATAAATGGCTTTTTGCGGAAGTGTACGGTGGACAAGAGCAGAGCTTCCGAGCTGACCACCGCTTACAGAGAACATAAAATATAGAAATAAAAGAAATAGGAACATTTTTCCCAGCGCTGATGCCACATAAAAACACTATTCATTTATTTATTTATTTACCAGCTTTTCTGGACACAGGCCTGCCCGGAGGGAATGTGCACGAACGGGACTCAGGTCCCACGCGAGGTGCCATCCTTACTCAATCCCGCAACCTGTAAAGGTTGCCAATGGCCACACCACCGGGGTCCACGACCCCTACTCTTTTCAAATAGTGATGTGGATTTTTTTACGTTCCACAAGAACAAATCTGTGAAAGTGCTGTGAGACGGGACCTACGGTTTTTCGTCCTTATCCGAGAAGACTAGAAAGTCTAACCATTTGCAGATGTCATTACAAAGGCAGCACTTTCTTCTCAGTCATTTAAAGACCCTGAGTGTTGGTCTGGCCGGGGTTTGAACCCGCGACCTCCTGCTCAGCACACCAGCGTTCTACCCACTGAGATAACCAGGCGGCGGTTATTCGTAGCTATCACAAAATTCTCTTATCCGATTGGCTATAAGCAGCTCTGATCTCAGAATTCATAGGACAGTATCACAGGACAGAAGGTGTCATACCTAAGTAATTTGACAATTCGCGCCATCCCGCGCGCGCTCTTGAATCAGAATGGATTCTTCCGCTCAGTTCTTGGGTAGTTTTATTCTCTCTCCCATTTCCTCACCCTAATCCTTTAACTAGGAATCTATTAAAAACTTTCCCGGTTGACTGGAAAGACCCATTTTCCGAGATCTCCCCTCACCACTAAACCTGGCCTCCGCCACAAATGGAACTAAACTTCTAACAGGGATTAGATTACGTGTCAGTCTGCGACGCAGGCTGCACTGAACCCCTTCGTAAAAATTTTGCCTTTTTAATGTTAGGATAGGATAGGATGGCTGGCTTGGAAGCCGAGGTCTCAGTTTTCCAATTGGGATCTGGGTAATTGTGCTAGAATATTTTTCCATTCAGCCCGAGTACCGATATGTGAAAGGACGCTTCTTGTCTATCTCGGTAACCGGGCTGAAGTTTTCCATATGAAACAGTAATCGGGCTGGAATCTCAGCTTGGCAACCGTGCTGAAATTTCCCATTTTAACTGCCGTAGTCCCCGGTGTGGTGGTCTATCTCTCATGGGGGGAAGGACTGTTACGGGCCAGCAGTAATTGGCGTCATGCTGTTGCGGTGATCCTGCCAATAATTGGCGAATCTAATAAACTAAAATAAAATAAATGAAAGCAAAACGTATCCCTGTTACCGGGTTAGTCCATTTACTTGCTAATTCCTTTGAAGAGGTCATTATGTCTCCTATGTTTCTACGTCAATCTATTAGTATCCACAGCGGATTGTATCAGCACTGTTGTTCCGCAATAAGCTCTTTGCATCTGCTGGACAGTCGCGGGTGCAAAAACGCCGTGCTGGAGAGTAAAATCGTAGATTGTCATGTTTCTGCTAGAATAGTTAAAGGTTTGAAATTTCTCGCGAATTATGTTGATGCATCTCCTAAGGCGTTCTCTGCTCGGTTAAATCTGGACTTCACCGTTAGCTGTGACGTCACCCGAGAGAGACTCGCCGTCCTTTCCCAGATAACAGAGCGAGAGAGAACGCCCAGGGGCTTAGGCTGCATCTTAGTCATTTCTTGCCAAAACATAGCCGATAGATAACATGGAGTCTGCTTATATTTTAACTGTCTGAATATTGTATTGACCTAGGTGTAGTGATGAAGTTGCAATAGGGAAGAAGATGATCTACGCCAGCTCGAAAGATGCCTTAAAGAAGCGCTTCACGGGGCTCAATACAGAGTTTCAGTGCACTGACTCTGCAGAATTTCAGCATTCAGAGCTGGTCAAAGACCTGATCCATAAAGACAGAGTTTGACAAGAGATTCCTAATCTGCCAGTGCAATAACCAACTTACTTTTAAAAGAGGTCATTTTGACAGACTGCAGGTGTGTTCGCTTTCATTAAAAGAAAAATCCTCTTGTTGAATTTGGAACTTCAAGGCATGCTTTGTTGGTCAAGTTTCGTCACTAGTTTACTTATTCCTTTGTCCTTTCTGTTTGTAAGACGAAGAGTGGTTTATCTCTGTAGGTATCAACAGCCATCTTTATTCATAATCCAACAAGACAATAAACCAACAACTTAAAAGGATGCAATCTTGGAATATCGTGTTGCTTTTATGTGTTGAAAAATTTATCTGTGGACGGTTCTCCCAAGAAATGTACAGTTAAACTTGTATTAATAAAAGCACTTCTATATGAAAAATTGACCTGGAATATAAGGTGATTCCCTGGTTTTGCATTGCGCATCTCTTACTGCGCATAACAAGATGGCCCCCGTAAAAAAGAGCATGTGAAGTAACATAATTAAAATGAAGTTGACCGAAGAGAAACGCTATTGCAATTTTTGCCTGCGGTTGTTTCTTGCCGAGGTGAGACTCAATGTGCTGGGAATATGCCTAACGTAAGCAGTACGCGTGTTGCTGAGTTCGACTTCCTCACGGAGAACCTCGATAGTGGATGTTTAATTTGTGCTTATTCACTTTGATTTTCATTTAAACGCTTTCTTCATCACATTGTGTCCTAAATGTGATATCTCGATGTAAATTCTGTAAAAACGGAATTTTTAATACTTTCTTCCCCCTTTCACATACATTCTATTTTGAAACTCGCCCCAGTCCTCTCTCAAAAATCAAGGAAAATGCATTTGGTGCGCACTTTCTGCAGCTCTACCGCAAAAACGAGTACAGTGACCCCCATTTTTTATTTCATGATTTTAATAAGGACAGTGCTTCCTTTCGGTAAGAAAAAAACTGGCACAAATCTATGTTCAGTTTTTTGGCAATTTTACTAAATTGTACGGATTGAGCTATCACGTGTCGAATAGCGCGTGTCCAATTTAATTCTACTTTGGTGCGTAAAGTAAAAACAAGGGCATTAAAAGGCATTTTTATGGTACGTAAGTGGATAAACAATACATTAAAGTCAAATTCTGTGCGATACCACATGCATCATTGAAAAAATCTTTCCTTTTTGTCTAGTTTTGGGCTGCATGTGGTTTTTGTCAAAGGGTCCAAAATAGCCGTATTTGTCGGCCTTGTGACGTCAAAACGAGCCCGGTGACCCCCACTTTTTATTACATTTTTATCATCTTCTTGACTTGTTACATCAGTGTACCAAGTTTCATCTAAAATCTATGTTAGGTTCTTTTACTAGGGAATCACCTTAACCTGTCATTTGAACAAAAAGATAATCTTGGGCAATATAGGTAAAATAAAGAAGAGAGAGAACGCCTGCTTTTTTCTTAAGTTGGCCAAACAAGGGTATCCTGTTTTTAAAACGGGCAAAAAAAATTAGGCCACAGAAATAGCCTTATTTCTAGATTTAAGACGAAAGGAATTTAACAACTGTAAAAGCGTTCTTTGTTAGGCGTTTCCGCTCTACGTAGCAAGCATTTCCGCTCAAGTTATAGTGCGAAAACTTGGAGCGAGAGCATTATAACTCATTAACTCGAGCAAAAACGCTTGCTACGCAGACTAGGCGGCACAAGGGCGCCGGCTATATAGTTTATGCTTGCGCTTATTTTTCCAGCGGATTCTTGTCATAAAAAAGCCACTTTGATCCCTTCTTCCCCGTCCTCTCCCCCCCGCCCCATCTGAAGGTAGGGATCCGCCACTGGTAGGTCACCCAAAAGGAGCATGCAAAAGATATTGGACCCGGTGGTGTAGTGTACCTTTCATAGGTTGTGCGAGGTGGTATTGTTGGTCCCGTATTGTTATGATATATATCTGCCTTCTGGCAATGCAAATGTTGCAAACAAGAGAGATAGAGACATGACAGTCTGAAAGAGTTGCCTGTAAGTGCTTTTAATGGTGCAGTACAAATTTGTGAAATTCTTACAAGTTAAATGGGCCCTTATACACAGTTTAGGGAATTTGTTTACATTCTGAAACAGGTATGCATTATTAAAGTGAAACTTTTCAAGAGCTTTTTCATGGCCAAAATGAACTCAATTTAATAAGTAATAGTGGTAGAGACGTCACATCGTTTTTGCTGTTGAGTCCATCAATCACACCCTGTCCCGCTTCTGCAAATCTTTGGTTATCTCTGAAAACGACAACTCTGAGAGTTCTGAACATTGGAATTCAGGAGTGTTGAGCCCGCTTAACTCAGCTTTCAACGCTTGCTTTGAACTGGCGTGGATCAACTTATCTTGACCACAGCAATCATCTTTACACCTAAGCATAAAAAAGGAAAATCGAAACATGTTATCAAAGAAGACGCACCTTTGACAGAGGGCTTAAAATAAAGGAAATGAGAGTTTACTGCAAGGGCTCCGGGGGTTACCTTGTTACAAAAATGCGCCTAAGAAAGGACCGGTTTATCCTCTCTCGCTTGAAACTATCTTGGTTCCAAACAAATCCGAACTACGATAGGGGAGTGCGTTTGGTAAGAGTTGAAAAAATAGATGGTTTTCACAGTGACGTCATCAAATTGTAAAGTCAAAATAGCGAGGTTTTGTGAGTTCTTGTTTACACTGGGTTGAAGACAAACAAAAAATAAATCTTTGTACAAGTTTCCATTCCCTTAGCATGTTTCGTTTCGAAAATACAGCAATTTGAACTTCCGAGTTTTCACAGTGCGTGACACCAAAATAGGAATGCTGTCTCATTGAAAAAAAAGTCTCTACTCTTGATTTTCAGCAGTATAACCATTTCAAGTATTAGACGATATGTTTATACACACGTATGCTAGTTTTCGAGTGAAAAGAAAGAGCTTTTATAGAAAAAGTGAACTCCAGATGTTTTTGTTGATTTCCGGCGGCCATATTGGTGCACCAAAACTGTACACCAATATGGCGTCTCCATACAAAGCTCTACAAAAATGGGTGAAACGTTTCGGCAAACAACTCAGGAACTGTGCTCCTCAAAGACCTGAGAACTGGACAAATTGTTTATATATTAGTCTTTTATAACACTGCTTTTTTCTTGGCTTCTTCCGTTGGACGGTTTCCAATTTATTTTTTTTTTTGTTGCGTGACAGTGAAAACGAACTCCCCGCTAGGTAACTGGAACTATATCCAGTTTTCGTTGGATTTCACCCCACTTTCAAGTCATTTTTACTCGCTTTCCTTCGATCAAAGAGTGACTGAAATTTACCCCGATAACTGAAAGTCTGGCACTTTTAACTCCACACGGATGCCATCCCATTGCCTCTTCTTAAGCGTCAAAGCGTAGAAACACTAAAACTAACACTGGTCTTGACTGACTTAATTGGTGAAACGAACGGACCACTTTTTTTATAACATACAAATGCCTAATCACGTTAATTACCGTGAAATGAGTAAATTTGCACTGCACCATAAAATAAATTACTGAGAAATCAGTAACTATCAATTTTAACATGACAAATTGAATTTTTCAATCCGCCGACCCGTTTCTCTTCAGAGTTCGAGTTGACGCAGTTTTACTGTAGATCGTGCCCTACCAGCTGATAAACGTTAGCTTCGGCTGTGAAACGGTCTGGTTTGACCGAGTGAAACAGAAGTCAAAAACTATATAGCGCGGTTCCTCGCCCAAGGAGTTTTTCATCTCGTTAAAAATTTCCTCATTCCGTGTCTGAGAGCAATTCGGGGGCAGTTTGGATCCTTTCTTCTCGACAACAATCTTCTTTTTGTCTTCGATTTTCATCACCACGTATGCGTGCGACTTTTTCGACTTGATTTCCTTAAAGGCATCGATGACATCTTGGTCGACTTGCACTCCAGATGACTGCAAAATAACCAAAAAAATAACTTATTCTTATAAAAAACGGGGCCTCGTTGTTCACTAAAGATTTGTTAACTAAATCGGATTTTATCCCATGCACTGATTCGTTTTTACATACTTAAACGATGTTATTAGGAAAAAAAACAATCGGTTAGAAAAATCATGATATACACGGAAGGTAAAAGTAGCATTATAATCTGAAAGGATGACACATAATCATTGTTCAAAATTCATTGCAGAGAGGACTAACGCATTCTTAAGGCTTTTGACAACAGTCAAAAGATGTTTTTACCACTCTATGCCCTGCGAGCAGAGGATACATTTTCGTGGTATGAGCTGGCGTGCGAAAAGTAGGCTACTTTTCGCACGCCAGCTCACTACTCGCAGGGTAGCGGCTATATCGCTAAGGAATCTCCAATTTTTCAAAACCTGGATTGGGAAGTAACCTGCTAGTGAAAAAGCTAGAATTAGAACAAATTAAAGGACACTGAATACAAAAGTTTTTTGCAAAAGTACCATATTGAGCAAATCCACTTTCTAGTGTGTAAATTCAATAGAACATGTTGATAGCATTCAGTTACTTTTTACCGCAAAGTTTTGTTTTTTCGGACCGGTGTTCCTGCTTTCAAAAGTCACAAATCCAAAGAATTCATTTTCTTTAAGCCCATGGCCAAATGAAAGAATGATACTTCCTTTGTCAGGTTAGACACATTAGTATTAAACTAGTACTGAGGAACTTCAGAACTAGAAGCCTTAATTTGAGTAGGCTATTGTCCCTGACATTGAATTTAACTATTGTTCCAATAAATGAAAAACTATAAGATCCTATAACTTTTCCCTGAAATGTTTGCCGGGTTATATGTACCTTCTTATGAAACAGACAACACCCAAGAAAGGTTAAGTTCCTACACTATCCTGATGTGCAATATATACTCACCATTTTTAAAGATTAAGTGAATTGACTTTTAAAAGCGAGAGCGTACTTCCCTGAATAGAAACCTGTTTTCAGGAGAAAAATACCTCCTTCTATTTTCGGATATACTCGAGCGGGAATGTTTTATTCATCGGATTAGTAAAATTAAACATTAATGACACACCTAACAACAAATGAATGGACTCCATCAAACAAAGAGAAACTCGAAGAAATTGTCGCGTGGTAAATCACGGGGGTCAAATAATAATCGCCTTTTTAATGACGTTATTGTTCGTTACTCCGTTTACAACAAGAATGTATGACTATTCGAAAACTCTAGAAACACCCATTTATTTATCTTTGCCTAAATCTTGTAGGTTTTGAAACTCTAATTTCATAGATAAATTGTAAAAAAATGTTACTCTTTATCTCATACACAGATTTTTATGTAACAATTAAATGCAGATTCAGCAAAGACAATTCGACGTCAAATGAGAGCGCAAAGAGAGCACTTGAGGAAAGCGGGCTGAATTCGGTTTTAAATCTACGCGCACAGTTCAGGGGCACCCAACGACTGTTTTCTGTAAAATATCTGTTCAGAGAAGCAAATATTGCCTAGAATTTTCCATTACTTGAGGAGGGTTAAAAATTTCTAGATGACCGTTCCATTCATGTACAATTTTCGAAGCATATCGTATCAATTCCCTACGACTTTCTGAAGCTTAATTTTCACATTTTACTTCTCAAGTTAGATTATTTTTTGTAGAAAAAAAGGAACCTAGAATTTTCGGATTCAAAAATTTAATGCGTTAAGAATCAGAAAATGTCTCACTTTCGTTATACGTCAAATTTCTTCTCAAATTTTCGGAAAAATAACACTCAAGCCCTTGTAATTTCGAAAAGACTCAAGTTCCCCTGGGATGACCGAACAGATACAAATTTTGTAGCGCCGCTTAGAATGCATTTCTAGATAACTAAAAGTACTCTGGATAGCCTAAAAAGTGTTTTCAATGTATTTAGGAGGAAACCATCGTTGAGTGCCCCTGACAGTTGTCAATGCCGTCACGTTTTCTTTGCCCAATCTGCCTATTTCTGCAGTAAGATTTTCTGTCAAATGCTATCCTTTGCAGGAGGGACTCTTGCTTAATTATTCTATAGGAACTTGATTTTGAAATAAAAACGGTGGTTCTAATACTCGTTTATGAGCATCAGCACCTTGTTTTCACGAAATAAAAAATATATCTCACTAAACTGGTAGATGATAAAATAATATTCCATTAAAATATCAAAGAGTGACAAATGGTTTTAAGAAACAGACGTTTCGGAGGTATAGCCCTTTAATGTCGCATCGCAGAAGATCGGGAAATAACCACACAGCAAGCAACTAGCAAAGAAAATGAGGTTAGGTGTATTTTATTGAAAATTCTAGCGAGTATTTTGCAAAACAAGAACTGATACGCGTGCAAGACTAGACTTCATGTACAAGACTTCGCAACTGGTAAGAATCCTTCTGTATCCTAAACTTGCTCCATCTCCTCCTATAGAGTGTTTTCACATGACGTCACGACGGCCATATTGGTGTCCCAAAACAATGAAACGGCGGCCATGTTGGTGTCCCAAACCAGTCCTCTGGGAGTTGAACTCTTTTCTTATCCAAACGCATTCTTTTGTTACAATAAATTTGCATATATGCTGGCCACGTGAGTGAAAACACTCTATAGATCATGGTTTTCACAGTGACGTCATCAAATTCTAAAGTCAAAATAGCGAGGTTGTACGAATTCTTATTTATACTAGGTTGAAGATAAACAAAAAGTAAATCTTTGTACAAGTTTCCATTCCCATAGCATGTTTCATTTCGAAAATACAGCAACTTGAACTTCCGAATTTTCACTCGGCGTGACACCAAAATAGGAATACTGTCTCGTTGAAAAAGTCTCCCCTCTTGATTTTCAACAGTACTGAGCATTTCGAGTATCAGAAGATATGTTTATGCGCACGTATGCTAGTTCTCGAGTGAAAAGAAAGAGCTTTTATAGAAAAAGTGAACTCCAGATGTTTTTGTTGATTTCCGGCGGCCATTTTGGTGCACCAAAACTGTACACCAATATGACGTCTCTGTACGAAGCTCCACGAAGGTCTACAAACGTGCATCAGGTGCATGAAATGTTTCGGCAAATAACTCAGAAACTGTGGGCCACAAAGACCTGAGACTTGAACAAATTGTTTATATATTAGTCTTTTATAATATTTCATTTTCTTGGCCTCTTCCACTGGATGGTTTCCAATTTATTTTTTTGTTGCGTGACAGTGAAAACGATCTATATCAAGCATGAACCAACAGAGTAATTCTATTGCAATTTTTGGAGCCAAAGTATGGAATTGCCTTCCACTTGAAATACGCAGACTCCCGAGGAACGCGTTTAAACAGAAAATTTAATATAATATTAATTTAATATGAATTAAACCTATAGTAATAAATTGACCATAAGTATTGTACTTCTTTTCAACTAACTGTTTGTACTACACGTTCTATGCAACAATTTTCTTTCATTTATATCACTACGAGCGAACTGTTAATTGTTGTTTTTGTTTTTGACAACCCGCCTCGATTAGCTATGCTAACTGCGGTTTGTCAGTGTTTGTAATACTGTTCTTTTAAAAACGGAATAAAGTGTTGCTGTTGTTGTTGTCACCGAAGTGAATTGACTGAGAGAGACTGAAAACCATTGCCTAGTCTTTCGAAAGGTGGATAACGCTATCGATCCTTATATCGATCCACGCATATTGATTTCCCTCTCTCTCCTCCACAGAGACCTCTTTGTATCGTAGGCCATCGGGA